TTGTTTGTTGTTCCACCTTGGTTCTTCGTTCGCAAATTTTGTGAGAGTGGAATTACGCCCGGAGATTTTTGGAAAATTAAATGAAATCGTGAAATATTAATCGGATGCATTTCAAATGAATCGGGTGTAACTAGATACTCCAGAATCAGTACGTTTGGCATATTAAAACAATATAATTCGTAGTTCTGGTGCAAGAAGTAACAACTAGATATGCACCATAGAGTTGAAAATTGGAAATACGCCATGTAAGAGGAAACGTTTTTGTTGATTTGAAATGATATTTTCTACTACTTGTTCGTGTTTATCGAGTAGTTTGTGAACTGTTCTCTCTATATGTGGCAAAATATGGTTTGTTTACATTCTGGCTCTTCCGTCCATTTGAAATGTTAATCTAGAACCGTCGTGCAAAGTCGGCCAAAGTTCAAATTCTTATGAGTAACTATCAAATTAATATCTAAGTCAAAAATTGTTCTGGGAGAGTGGGATGAACATTCCGAGAGTAATCATAAGAATCCTTCCGAAAAAGCTTGTCAAACCTTCAAGGGGAAGTTCACATGTGTCGGGCTAAGACGGCCATCTTTGGTTGGTTGAAACTGAATGCGTAAATAACAATATGTGTTTCGTTTCTGAAATATATCAGACTTTTTTTCGAAAACATTTGTAGATCTGTCATCAATATAAATTTGTGATATGGAGGCCCGTGGGTTCGACCAGAAAATCCGGAACATCCGTAAAAGTAGTTATTTCATCAAACTAGGTTCAGGATTTCTAAGGATCTTCTGATACCAGCATTATAAGTAAGATGCACAAGCGAGTCACTTTTTTCAAGCCAGTCACTAAAAAGTATCTTTTTCTAAGGCCAAGTCACTAAAGTCACTTTTTCTTGTAATAAGTCACTATTTTAAACTTTTTTAAACGTGAATTTATTTCAAGATTGATCATTCTTCTGAATAGGACTACATTTTGTTCTATTTTTTGAACAATTCGAAGTTTACGACCTTGTTTTTTTACGTTTAATCGTTCTTCTCTATCTACAGGGTGTCCATTCATTTGGCTAAATAAAGTTCCTTGAGTTTTCAAGGTTTTTTTTCCATAACTTTGGCGGATAATTTCCAGATTTATAATAAGAATGCTATTTATGAAATAAAATAAAATATGTTTTTAACGCAAACGTGTTTAAGACATGACAATATTAAAACTGATTAAGAAACAGCTTTACTATCAAATCCATTAAATGTTGAAGTTGAACACTATCTTCATTTTAGTAAGTCTAAGATCACAAAATTTTTAATGTCTTGACGTTTCGTACTAACAAAAATGTGTAATCTTTAATGAAGTTCTATTGATCTCAAAAAAGTTAGATCTAGAGATCTTTGGTGAATTCCAGAGATCTTAAGGGGAAGTCCCCGAAATTTTAGCCCAGACTATTGAATTGGTTAAAAAATCTATAAGCGTGAGTTTAGACAAATTCAGGATAGTTCCATGATGTGCTGAAATAAAATCAAGAACCCATGAGATGTTCCGAAAGATTTAGTACAGAGACCTTCAGAAATATTTCAGGAACTTCACAGAAATCCAGAGTATTACAGGGAAGTTTACGAGAATTCCATTTATTTTAAAGCAGGACCAAGATCTTCATTAGAGTTGTGAGTTTTAAGGAAGCTCCGAGAACATCAAGACAGATCAGAGAATTAAAAGACAGTTCAAAAAATTTTAAGGAAATTGCAGAAACCGGAATTTCCGGAAACTTCGGTTTGCTCAGAGAAAATTTCTGGAACGCAATAAAAATTATATGAACATCCAGATGTGAGAGTATTTCAAGGGTGTTATATCATGGAAATAATTTCAAAATCTAAAAAAAAATCGAAAATTTAGCTAAGTTGATTAGAGAACATCAACGAAGTTCCATTAATTTAAAATAAAAACGAGATTTTAGCAAGCACCAATATTTTCCAAATATCAGAAAATTTACCGGAACATTTGATTAATTTAGAGAAATTAAGTTAAGCATAGAACACTTCTGGGATGTCCAGGATTTTCAGGGAAAATTTGTTATTTAAGGCCAAGTTCCGTAAGCGTTTATAAACTTCATAAAACTTAAGAAAAATTGTAGAACTTTAAGGCAATTAATCGATTCCAGTAAAATGGTGAGTTCTTTTAAAAAATACTAAGATATTCAGGGCAGTCTAGAGAATTTTAAGGAAATCGAGAAATATTTTGGGCAGTTTTAAAAACATCCGGAAACTTGATAATTAATTTTAACTTCAGACAGACCTTGCGAACTTCAGCGAACATCATTGAACTATATTAAAAAAGTTCCTGAAATTTCAGTATAACTTCGAAAACTTCACAGAACTCACAGAAGTACAGAGATCTTCAGAAACATTTCGAGAACTTCATAAAAGTCTATGGAACTTAAGGGAAGATCCGAGAACTTCAGGAACTTTTATGGACATTTCTGGAGCATCTCAAATAAGTTTAGTAAAGTTCTTAAAACCAAGGAAATTTAAGGGAAGTTAAACTACAAAAGAACTTCAAGGGAATTTAATTAACTTCAGGAATGTTTTGGAAACTTTCAAGTAGTTCTGAAGACCTCAGAATAGTCCATTCCATATTCAACGCAGATTTCTCATGAACATTCGCTTGGAGTTTACTATCTTAGGCTTAGGCTTCACATGAAGTCTAAGATTCCTCAGAACTACCATGAAAGCAGATTGTAGTTGATGTTTTTCTCATAGATTTTTTCCCAGAACTCGTGAGGAATGAGGTCCTTAGAAATAATAATAAAATTTCATGAGCCTTAAACTGTGCAAGAAATTTGACTCCAGATTCCTGAAAATTTCTGGAAGTATTATAACTTTTCAGTTCAGAATTTATAAAATTTGTGGGAAATGTGCATATTCTAGAGAAAAAAAATCATTTGAAGCCTCTGAATTTTAAAAATGTATTTGTTACTGAAGATTAATCCATTCTGGATCTATAAAGTTCAATGTGTGAATGAAAATAACTAGGAATATTAAATGTTTTTTTAAAAATACATTCTTAGAAAGAAAATTAATCAATTTCCTGAATAATGAGACTTCCCTCCAGGTATTTTTAGGAAAAATAAAATTCCCGGTTTTTTCAGGTTTTTCCAGGTGGTAGAAGCTTGTAGGTTTACTCATAAACTTTCTATTGAATCTTTCGCTTTAAAGGTTCCTATCTTACATATTTAGGTGTTTATGAGAATCTAATTGAATAAGTCTAAAACATCAAACATTTACATATTTTGTATGCCATCATAACGACTAATTTTCTATCCTTAGGTCACTTTTAGTCACTTTTTTACAACTATAAGTCACTATTTGGTCACTTATTTCTTCAACATGGTCACTAAAATCACTACTTTTGACAGCATTGATCGCTACCAGCCCTATGCATAAGTAAATTAGGAATTCCCTCACTACGCGGCGCTAGTGTACATGTGAATTATCTGTATCTATAAGCTATATCTTGAAATCCTCACCATCTACGTGAAGTTCACACGTAGACTAGTGTCACGTAGTGAGAGAATTCTGAACTAACTAACCCACAAATTTGAAGACATTGAACACCTGAACAACTTTTCCCAAGAATTCTAAATAGTAAAGATCTCAAGATATATTTTGTACAGGAAATTCACTTACACATTAGCGTCGAATAGTGAGAAAATTCTGTACTACTGTTCTATCCGTCTTGACCTACCGTGTAATTTAACCGAAGACAGCAATCTTTTATATAGCCAGGATCATGATATATTTCATGTGGCCGCCTTACTCCTAGGGGTGGCCAACATTACCCCGCATGATTTTTTTTTTTTCAATATTAAGGCTGTTTTTGATTCGTTATAAAACATCATCAAATGAAAAGGAAATTTTCTGAAAATTAATGTAATTAGGAAAAGTACTCTAAAGATCAATAATCACTAAATTTATCGCAGAAATTTTCTACAGTTTTGGTTAAATTTTACTTCAATCTTAGGGTGGCCATCTCACCCGTCGTCCCCTACATATTTAATCTGAAGAACGTTCACTTTTATTTCTCAAAACAATAGATTCTAACACTTTTAAATTTTTTTAGAAATTACTTTGTCTTTCTGAGCTTCATTTTTCGATAAGCATTTGGAAGTTTCTAAAAGAAAAACATCTATTCACTCGTAAAATCAATATTTTTGTGGTGTTCTTAGATACTTGAACAAAAGTTCCTGTATATTAATAACCGGGATTTTTTTGGGGTTAAACCTAGCAAAAAGTCGGGAATACCAAAATGAAAATTTAGTGGCAATCCTGTGTACTTTTCATTCTCGAACAAAGTTTTCTGATTGTTTCTCAAATATTTTATATTTATTCAGTTTAAGGCTATTTTTTAAATTGTTGAATGTTGAGTGCCGTGACGTGGGATTTTTGGATTGATGATTGAGATTTAAACTTCATGCAATACATACATTTCAATCAGAGCCTCCCTTAGGTCAGTTAGTCAAGACGCAGCTTCAAGGCAAGACCATGCTGGAGGTGGGTTGGTTCGATTCCCAATACATTTGATTACCTCTGAGTGTCCATATATGCGATGTCCTCATATCAAGACGATTGGCTACTCTTACGCTTTCGTATACGAACGTAAATAGCCAGGCATAATCACGCCATTTACCGCTAAAAGGCAAAAGCTTCGCACGGACTCGATATCGAAATTGACAACCTCAAAAGTGAGTCCTCTTGCCGTCTTCGCAAGTCCATCAAAATTGTATCCGCATCGGATATTTGGTTCCGTAGATATGACCAAAAAGTAAAACTTAGTTCAAATAGTTATTATTTTGTAAATACCTGGATTAGCTTTGCGAGTGCTTAAGCTGTAATGAAACTGAATTTATTTTCCATCAATCCTACCGATTCCGGAAAAATTGCTGATTACCTATCCCTAAAACAAGCATTGCTACCCATGCTAACCAAACGTTTCCGATTTTCTCTCCATCTCTCCCTTTACAGTAGCAGCACAATATGCATCCGGAAATGTTCCTGACTCAACGCGGCAGAGGCATCATGCGCCGCTCTACGGAAGACTGGTTACAGAAGAACACTTACCTGCCGCTCATCGTGATATACATCAGGTAGCAAAAGTCTCTGCTGCTCTCCCTCCCTCCCGATCAACAATAACTAATTTTGTTTAATAATTTCCCTTCCACAGCGTTCGATAAGTCCTACATCATCGACAGACATTCGGGCGATGCAAGCCCGAATACCATCGCATTTTCGAGACCCAACGACGGCGCCCCTACGGAAGCTGAGCGTGGATCTAATCAAAACCTACAAACACATCAATGAGGTGAGTATCGAGTCTTGAACTGTGACGCAACTTGACATCTATTTCCAATATCCCCGACCTCTTGACGCGCGCCATTCTCAGAAAACGCCTTGAAACAGCCCGGCATATTGTGCTCGCCGGAATCCAATCCACCCGGCTTTGTGTCTTATTGATACAACGGTGCTGTCCACCCCCTGACAGGTTGTGGCCACAGAAATAATTTCGCAAATATTTATTCAAATTTCGTTTACCACCAAGACCCCCTCCCCAACAACATCTTGCCCAGCACATTTATCTGCTTCTTTCCCATAGGGCCATTGTTCCTGTGAGTGGAGAAGCATCCTGCCTACTTGGGCATATAGGAAAGGAAAACAAAAAGCACGCGAAAATGAAAATCCGTTCGATCGAAAGTTTTCCTTTTGGGAAAGTTCCTTGCACGCAACAAGCTCGCTGCCGCCGCCGCCCTTCAGCCTTCCCGATGATAGCGCGGGATGGGGATGGGAATTTCGTAATCCTCCAAGGACGTGGCGACCCTCGAGTGCAACCGTATTGTGAGCGATTGGGAATCTCAGGGCTGGGAGGGGGGCAATACTGTACACTTGAGGAATTTACATTTAAATTCCAATACTGAAGGATACCCGGGTGCGAAATACGTTATTGAAATATGGGATGTGACAGTTCGGTGGATTTTTCATCCTAGCACATGTTTTTGAACTATTTGGTTGAATATGTTGCATGTGACTTGCTTGCTGTAAAAAGTTATCTGCCAACGGTACACGTACACGAATTCCGCTTTAATCACTTTAGTCGGAAATCCTTTGGCTGGCATAATCAGCAAAAGCTCATTTGTTTCCTGTGAATTTTCCGGTTTTTTGAGATCCATGAACAAATCTAGATCAACAACTGAAAAAGGCGGAACAACCTAACGTAAATAATGACTATAAACGCAAATTTCTCGAGAATCAAAACACACCCACGCAAACTAACACTGTCATTCGATTAAGGAAATTTGCTCTTTCAGATGTTTTGAGATGTGGTGTACAGGTAGATTGAGGTTAAGGAAACCTCACTGCCTGAATGTGGTTTGGTTCTCGAGAAATTTGCGATTAAAGTCATTATTTACGTTTGGTTGATCCGCCTATTTCCCTTTTTGGTCTGAAAATGGTATATCTTCATGTTGTATTCCCGGAATTTATCAGAGGCTTGTTTGAACGGTGATAGCGCGATCCGTGACTGATTCCCAACAACCTTATTTTGTGCTTATAGGATGTTTTGAATATCTCTGAAACGAACCGTTGGATCCGGAATAATTCGCATTTTGTTCCTCAAAATGAGACATGCTACTTGATGATAACTTTTGAAGCCCCTTTGACAATTGTGAGTGTTGGTTTTGTTACTAGTTGTAATTTCAACCCATTCAGAATCTCCTAAATGAAATCAATTGAATAGTTGCTTAAACCCACCTAGCGTGCGTGCCAATTCCACTCGTTGACTTTTCCCTCCTCACTTAACCATGACCAAACGAAGAAATAGGTATAATCAAAAGTTGAAAATGAGCAGAATAGTAATAATAATAATAACGGCGGGGGATATACCCAATGAAGACGCTTGGGTTGGACGCGTCCAAGGATGGTAAAGCTTTCCCCGTTGTTCATCAGTGTCCGCACGGCGGGGGATGATAATGGAAATCGAAATTAGAGACTCTTCTAAGTTGGAAAAGTACTGCGCCCACTACTCACGTTGCCAGCTGCCTGGAACCTCATCGTGCAATAAGAGCATCGATGGATAGGAACCGCGACTCACGCTCCAACAAGGCCAACAGCGGTGGCGAACAAACATAAAAGTAATAATAAAATGAATTGTGAGCGCACTGACGGCGACGATGACGACTGGAATGGGGGGGTGGAATCCTTTGGGAGTCTCCGTCGTCGTTGTCTAGCATCGCTACACGGAAAATTCCGGACCACCTCGGTTCATGGAGGTCATCCATCGAAAGGGCCCAACCATGCCAAGGACTCTCGTCTCCGTAGTTGGTTCTTGTCCCAAGGAAGGGGAGTGAAGCAAGGACCGAGCAAATTTTCTGCGAATCCTGACGGATGGAGGAGTTATAGGGAAACGAACAGGCAGACGTTCGCTATTGCTGCCGGTGGTGATGCAATTGAGTTTTTCAAGAGGAAACTCTCAAGCATCTCATTATCTAACCGGCAGAGCTTGCTGCTGGGTGGGGAACCTGCAAGAGTGGGAGTGGGAGCATTGGGTTTCAAAGTGCTATTCTGAATTTACCATAATTGGTTTTTAGCCTGAATAGTGAACCAGCAGCTTTTGTTATGGGAAACTGCAGGCCATGTTTTGAATTATCAACAGTAAGATTCGGATGTCGGTACATTCAACCGGAGAATGAAATTTTTTATAATTTAACAGTTTTATATTAAATATAAACAGAAACTACAATAAATCACCGCATATAAAGATGCTGTAATTTAGTCGTCGAAAGGTTTTTTAATTAATTTGGTAAAGCAAATATTACAGGGCTGGTAGCGAGTCACTTTTTAGTGACTTGGTCACTTTTTTCAAGCCAGTCACTAAAAAGTCTCGTTTTTTTAAGGCCAAGTCACTAACGTCACTTTTTCTTGTAATCAGTCACTATTTTCAAATTTTTTAGAGTGAATTTATTTCAAGATTGTTTCTCTCTATCTACTGGGTGTCTACCCTTTTTTTATAAATATAATTACCTGAGTTTTCCAGGTGTTTTTCCAGTACTTTAACGGATAAATTCCAGGATGAAAAACAACAGCATTTACCCAAACTTTTTTAAGACATGGTAATCAGTTTTAAAGAAACAGCTTTACAATCAAATCCATGATGATGAAGTTTAACACTTACTTAATTTCTCACTTAATAAAGTTAAAAAAAAAACTTACTCAATTTGAGTAAGTCTAAGATCTAAAGTTTTTCAATATCTTGAAGTTTCGTATTCCATGTTCAAGATTTTGAAATTGTTCAAAGTGCCAAAATAAAGAAAAAAGATAAATGATTTATTTTAAGTTTGTAATTGTAGGAATTTTGGAGAAGTTCTGAGTAATGAAAAGACTGAGAATTTCAGTTAAGCTCGATAAACAAACTGCGGGAACATAAGGCAAGTTAATACGCTGAAAATATGGGGAACTTACTGTAAGCTTTAAGAACCTTCAAGCGGTTCTTTTAGCATCCGAAAATTTTCGGGAATTTTAATGAAGTTCCTAGAATTTCAGAGAACTTCACAGGTGTCAAACGAACTTGAGAAATATAGAATATAGAATATAGGGGTATTGTGTAAATTTTTAAGAAGTTCTAAGTATCTCAGAAAAGCTAGATATAAAGATTTTTGGGGAATTCCAGATCTTAGCAGCAGTTTCCGTAGCTTTAGTCCAGACTTTTGGAGCAGTTTAAATACCTATAATCGTAAATTTAGAAAATAAAGGAAAGTTCCATAATGTGCTGAAAAAAAAAGATGTTCCGAGAATTACAGGGAAGCACAGAGTGCTTCAGAGAATTTATGAAAACTTCAGAAATATTTCAGAAACTTCACAGAAGTCCAGAGAATTTCAGGGAAATTTAAATGTGTTTACGGGAATTCCATTTATTTCCGAGCAGAACCGAGATCTTCAATAGAATTGAGAGCTTTAGGGAATCTTTGAGAACATCAAGACAGATTAGAGAATCAAAGGCCAGTTCAAATAATTTCAAGGAAACTAAAGAAACCTTAAAGAAGTTACGAGAAACTCAGGGAATTTCCGGAAACTTTAGCAAAGCTCCGAGAAAATTTCTGGAACGGGGGGAGGTAGCTCATCGATTCTTCCGGTTCGCCTCCTAGCATCGTGCTATAAGGTACCAGGCGATAACCAGGGTAGTTGATCGATAGCTCGATGACGTCATTTCGTTGGCGTCTGCAATGGGAAATTCTCATAGCAGGCGTTGACGATGGGACGTTGTCGAGTTGTTGAATAGCAACTATCGTTGTAACTCACCGATTACCTGTCGATCTGCCAAATTTGGAAAGACGTCTGCATTGAATTGTCTCATATAATAATATTCCGCCCACTATATCACAAGAAATTGCGAGTAGCTGAGTGGAATGGAGATAAGTTAAGCATTGGGTACAGGACCTAGTCTCCCCTGGGTGGTGCCAGAAGATGAGCGCAATAGAATCATCAAGTTGCCATAAGGCACGGAATGAGACTATTGCATGGCTGGGTAGTCAAAGTCTTCCATTCGTTAGTCATTTCAGATGGATTAGAACAGGTTTAGGTTTAGGGTGCGCGTTGGCCAGATTTGGATTTTTCAGATGTAATCCTGGATAGGACCCTGTCATTGAACGTCGCGTGAAAGTGGAACTTAATGAAGGCCTAAGTACTTTTTCATAGTTTTTAGTTTTCGGATTTGAAAGATCGTCGGTTACAGTGGCCTGCTTACTGAGCAGAAAAACGCGGTCCCAGGTCCTTACATATCAAAGAGATTTATGGTAAAATCGCTTGTGTATCGTGTATTTTGCGAAACTCGTTGTTGTCGTTGGTTCCGGGTTTGAATGGATACAAAAATTTGAGCAACGGTATTATGTGATATGAGGGGCTCGGTGGCCTTAGAGCAACCGTTTTTGCTTACTGAGCAGAACATCATGAGTCTAATCTCAGGCCCATCCACATTCAAGATGCGTCAATCGTTTTTTTATGACTACATGGTAATAACAGCAACTCGGTGATTAAAAAGGTGCTCGTCTGCCTAGTGGCAAACGTTTTTGCTTACTGAGCAGAAGACCGTGAGTTTAGTCCCAAGCTCCTTCGCGTTATATGATCGTTAGGACATCAATTCAGCTTATCGTTTACCAAAACGAACCCTGCTGCAAACCCAACCCTCTTATCCAACATCCTAATGATTCCTCGTGGAAGTGCAGAGGTGTTCTCGGCTTCCATCAAAGCGAGTGTCATGTCAACACAATCCTTCCCATTCCTTTCTTGACCTGTGTTCGGGAGCGGCCGGCGCTG